TCAAGTATGGGACTCTTCAGTAGTGTGCATCCACGATCCCGCTCCATCTCCATAAAACCCGTTCTCATAATAATCATATGCTGACTAGTGACTAGTTTCAAGATGGATTTTCTGGAGTTCTAGTGAGAAGCCGTAGCAAATGCGGTTCAACCGTGACTGTTGTGAGACAGTTACTCACTGACGACAATGGTGGACGGATGCGCAATATCATGGATTGTTGGAAGTTAAACTTTAATACTGTTGAATGCTGGCTTAGTGGTCTAGAGGTTAAGTGCTTGCGTACGAGACCGATAGGCCCTAGGTTCGAATCTCGCGAGGCGGGATCGTGGATGAGCACTGTTGGGGAGCCGTATATTAGGACGAAATAGCCGTCCAGTACTTCCAGGTTTCTAAGAGTAGTCTGACATTATATCAATCCAAATAACATATATTTCAACATTTATACGCGTTGAAAATCTATTAAAAGATGATATATTAACAGTTACGAAACTTTGTAATTATTTGTGACTTATCATTTCTCGAATATTTCTAAATCGAAAAAAATGGTAGTTGCTGTTGATCAAAAGACTATATAAATATAAATGGGTGATAAACAAAATTTTCATAACCTTGACTGTTTAAATCACTGTTTATCTAAAACATTAATTACTAATTTTATAATTATACATAATTAAACATGTGATTATTTAGTATTTGGTATATCAAATCTATATCAATCACATTTCATGTACAATAAAATAGTGGAACTAATGAAACATGTATAACATGTTATTAATAATATCAATGATGCCATTAACTTCCCTAATGATATGGCAAACATTAGCTGAATCGATTAGAGTGCAAATGATATATGAAACTGATTTATTTTCTAATCATCTATACCATTTGACCACATCTTGAGGAGTAAACATATAACTTGGTCAACTAATTTTAGATATTGGTCATAGATACTTAAATGTACGATAATGTAATTGTGTTCACACGTTGCATTATCGATCGATTGGTCTGTAAACACTATATAATTGTAAATGAATCATACCAAAAAATGGTGTATTCATCTATCATTCTGATTTATTTGGATGCTAAACAAAATCATATCACCAGTCTGAGTTCTTACTACATGCTGTCGAATTCAAAGATTCAGTACTAAGCACAAATTAACCGAACATTCCCGAAATGGTAGTTGGAATGATATATTGTATAAATACTTAATATAATATTATTTGGAAGTTGATTTCAAATGAAACAACTAAACATCGTTTGACAGATTAATTGCATAAGTAAAATTAATCCACTAAACTATTCAGTGATTTTCTAGCATATAAATACTCATACATCGAGAAATTTAGCAGACAGTATTTTTGTTCGTTTATCTTTCAGTAGTTATTTTACTGAAAACTATCTACAGATAGAAAAAAGCACAATACTGTTAGCTTATGTGTATTACATGCACTTGAACATATCGTAAGTTATTTACCAAGTACAACTTTAAGCGCTCCAACTTGAGCCATGTTATTTCTTCGACTAATAGCGGTGTTATCTAGTTGCCCAGACCAAAGTTGGTTTTGAAGGATCTGAACAAGGGGAATAATAATTATAAGTCGATTGTTTTAATAATTATTCTACCCCTGGCTCTATGTAATCTATTAAACTCTCAATAATCATACATAAACTTCCTGTTATTATTTTGAGTATCAAGAATACATACCAAGAAAGGGTAGTTCTTTTGTTAGTGTAGGACTAAAATTGATATGCATTAATTACGACTTGTCCGAAATTCATTCTTGAATTGTCGTTTTCCACTCACTCTGTGCCAATCCCTACATGTTTATCGTTATAACAAGGTTTCCTTATAAACGACGGTAGTTTTTTCCAACAAATCGATCTGTAACTACTTAGAAACGTTTCGCTTTTCCAAGTTATGATCAGCTTATGGATTCATATATTTGAATATTCTATTATAACCCACAGACAACTGTAGCCCATCCTACTTCTTGTTATGAAACTTTAATTAAAAGTAATAATTCAGTTAACTAAGTTCTGTTTATCACAACACAAAATAAGATAAAATACTCTTTACTATAAAGATAAATATTTAAGAATTTTCATTTTCTTTCTTTAACTATGCAGAAGACACAACATCGTCGACAAACTCCCTCGTGCTACTCATTAGAATAGAGTAACTGAAGAGAGTATTGCACAGTTATAAATTTTACTAGTCTAGGTTTGTTCATAAGATCTGTATCATACAATTTAATTATCCTCTACTGAAACGTAATCAATCTTGAAAATAGTCAACTACTACGTAAAATTAATAGTGACGTTTCCGAACTATCTTCCAATCGAAGAGTTATTAGAGTAGTAAAATTCTGTTTCGCTAGTCCAATCGATCTCAGAAATTAATCAGCAGTTATTTAAGACTCATACAAATTACAAATCGGTTATGTTTAACATAAACTTGTGGATCATCGCCTTGTCGCCCAGTTATTTTATTAGAACTTCCAGAAAATAAGTAAACGTAACAAAGCTAATCATTACTTTGCAATTGCAGTATGTACAGCTAATCGGAAGTGGAATGCCTGACAGCAGAAGATTGAATCGAAGTGAACAGCAAAAGTAATCGAGACCAATTGTAATAACAACAGAATTGAATCATGAAGCATCTTAAGGACAACTAAAGGAAAATATGCAAACAATGCATTTATTGTATGATTTTCATATTTTTATGGAGTCACTCTGTAATCATGCATTATACAGCAAATTGGTTTACCCCACCAAATCTTCTTTCACTACAATATTATTCAATCTTCACTGAGAATATTAAGCGTACAACTAAATAGTATTTCAAATAAACAGAAATATCAAATAATCCATCATACTAGATTATCTCCTAAAAGATACACTTAGAAAACCGACTAGGTATTCAATTGAACCAAGCACTATTCACATGAAATGTTCTCTTGCATAGATTATACAATCTCTACTTGTCAGCAAAAAGACTTACACTAAGCACAATAGGATATTTATATCTAATATAGCAGCTGCAATGGGCAAGTAAATAAATATTTTTAAGCTTTATTTCAGGTTTGTAAAATATGTAACGAATTTCACACACTGAACAAAGACACTTTTAATTGGTCATACTTTAAACAGTTGCATAACCAATCAAATTAATTTACTGATAGGGTAGAAACAATTTATTGACCTCATGTCTGAAGGAAGAATAGCAAATGATTGTCCAATATTTAACTTCGATCTTGACTAGGTTCATAACTAGGTAAAACACCATCCACTGTCAAAGCGTCAATTATAGTAACCTAGTAAACTGGTCGCATTACAACTAAACGTGTCAAGTATAACTTACATCAAATATTCTGTTATCAAAAATCCTGCGCACTAAGGTTTTCTGGAATCACTACTGGTCCGTACAAAACACCAAAATTAAATTTATTTGTTTGGTAAAATTCATGCACATGTCACAAATCGAAACTCTCTCAGTCCTTCATTATAGAATTACGGTTATTTATGTAGACTTCCTTTAAACAAAAAAATCAGACATGCTTCCGAACTACGTTTCTTAAGAGTACTAAACTTTCAACTCAGAAAACTTCATTTTTCTCACATCCATAAACGGACACACATTTAGTTCATTCGCTGTCTGACAAATGACCATGGACATCTAATTGAAATATACTAAGAATTAACAAACTTTATATTCATATTGCTACCTATTTTTAACCTACTAAATTTATACAGTTGAATTCAGTTTACTAATTAAGAAAGCAACCTGTAAGATAAACCGTGAGAAACTTATGTTGCTGAGACACGGTAACATATAAATCGACAAGATAACATGTTTGTTTTTATTAGTTAACTTCTGTTCTTTTAGTGTCGTTCCCACAGATGGGTTGATTTTTTTTATATACATGATAAATATTTTCAGGCAACTTTTTCTTTCTTAAATGACCATTGTTTGCGTTCAATATTAAACCATTTGAACTCAATTACTGTTAAGTTCTTGTACTTCAGGTGTTATGATTAATTTAAGTCAATATTATTGGAATCTATTACCGTCCCCACAACAATAATCTGTAGTGACGCGGTTATCTTATGCAGTTTACATCTATTCATATTGATTATGACAGTATGCAACATACTATATATGTGATGCTATGTTACTCATTCATTTGTTCTTTACTTGAAACGTAAAAGCGTTTCTAGAAGTTTCGTCTTCTATCTTCGCATTCATGTGACTTTGGTATCGTTGAGATGTCACTACATATAACCAATTTATATACATATCATCAGCCAGGCTATCTTAACTATGTGGGTTTTTTACAGAAGATAATTTGATAACTATTAGTATCACATAAAGTATAAGATTATTACATTATAATATGAGCATAATATATGGTTTATTTGAAGAAAACATTTTGCGTTTAGATAACGTTCTTATAACTTAATTCAAAATATAAACACTGAACAGGAAGCTTCCACATAAAATTTACTTTATTATCCAGAATAAAGCAATACTGATTTATATATTAATTGTAATTAATGTGTTAACGATCCTGATCCATACATGTGTACAAAAACACTGCACATGATATATGACAAAATGTAAGAGCCTTCAACTGAACAACTTAGGTACCTATATCTTTTTAAAAAAAAAAACAAGTCAACTTTATCAATCAGCAAATCTTATACATTTAATGAATAGAGGGTGAAGAATAGAAACAAAGCAGGATTTTCGAGAACAAAAAAACAGGTTATACAGTAAGACTTTTTATATTCATTATTGGTAGAGAATTGAAATAAGCTCAAACGAAAATGTATTGTATAACAACAAAAGTGTCATAAACGCATGATCGAGAAATTCACTTTGTTACTATGATGCTAACTGTGCAGATATAAAGAAATTAGAGGATAATCTCTTGAAGAAATTGTAAAGACACAGAATGGACACATACACACATAAACTAAGAGAATAATATTACTAATTACTCCCATTCAATAGTTGCTGGTGGTTTCGAAGTAAGATCGTATAAAACTCGAGATATTCCAGGTACTTCTTCAGCTGCTTTCTGCATTTTGTAAACAACCTATACACAAAGATAAAACAATACTAAGTATTTCTAGATAGAGATAATATTAACGTTCACAAATGCAAAATACTAACAATATAAAAATATTTCTCACTCAAATAGTAGAGACAGTTTGTTGTATACTGACTCAAGCACAATTAAATTGACTTGTTGGTATTCATAAAAGCTCTAACAGTTAGTAATACTTATTGTACAACAATAGTGGATGCGCACTGCTGAGGAGTCCCATACTAGGACGAAACGGCCGTCTAGTGCTTCCAGGTTTTCCATGGTGGTCTAGCTTCAATCGACTCATGATTTCAAGCTGTGAAATTTCTAAAACTCTCCACAAAACCCATTCTGATAATAGTGATTATGTTGATAAATTAACTGGAAACTAATAATATTTTTGAAAACAATAGCTACCATTTAAAGCGTAATGATAAAATGACCAGCACAACAAATGGTTTTATTTAGATACAACCATATGTATCATCGATTTCAATTGTTAACTGATGTCGTCGATTTTCCATTCGATAGTTATTTTTTCAAATATAATTTATCCATCATGAGCACTTTGAAGTCTCGCTTCAGTCACAATAACCGTTATGGATATAGTAGAAATCAAAGAAGATAAGATCTAGTGATTGATTCATCTAGTTGTATTATGTTGAAGTCTAATTGGTCACTTCAAGAAGATAAATGTTTTCAGGATAATTTCATACTACTTATAGTAGACACTTAACAAAGATTAAAATTTATACATAGCTTTTTCCAGACAAATTGGATGAAACGTTGTTACATAATGGAATGAAATGATTTATTGAGTAAATGAACGTTCTTCAGTGGCATAATTTTCAATAAAACATGTAAGCCTATATAGCTTTGTTAATGTCTATTAGTTTCCCAGTCATAAATATGATAATGGTGGGATAAATCAGAAAACAACAGAAATACATGTACAATCGAGATTTATCAAAACATCTGAGGTTTATCCAATCCTACTACCATAACGTAAAATACCCTCAAACAGCTGAATACACTTTTATAAAGCATTGTTAAAAGTATCGCGTAATACTTCCGCTCTTTATATCTTCTCCCAACTGCCAATGTCCATAAAGGTTCTCAGAATTCATACTTATCTAAAAGCTTTAAAAAACTCCCTGTACGAAAATGTATGCGATGTGACAATATGATATCGTTTATGCATGATATCATCTTGAATTTCTAGTGTTTCTAATTATAACTTCTATTTGTTACAGCTTTTTTCATCGTCGCGTAAAATCATTTGATAAGTAAGTTTGTAATCACATAGTTTGTAATTAATTGAGTAGATGCACTACATTATAGATGCATTCTGCTTTCATATGAATGCATGTTGCACTTCAGCAAAGTATTTTGGACTCACCTTAAAAATCGTAATGGTTCATGGTTCGAAACTTGGAGCTTAGATATAAAAATATGCCGAGGTTGGAAAACGATTGATATTGTTTGTTCTCAACCTTTTCTCTTATTTTTTTTACCTGGGCCTATCTAGCATCAGTTTGACCAACCAGTTAGTTATTGAGTGGGATCTATCTTGATAAACTATGATTGAGTTAAGTGCGCAATCACAAAACATATAGAAAAACAATGCATTTATAAAATTAACACATAAATATAGAATAAATAATATTGTAGACAATTACATACATCTTCTGGAATATGAACACCGGGAACAGCAGCAATACAAGTCATGAAATCAGCTGATTTCACAGGTCTGAGTACAACTGACCGTAAAATAGAAGGAATAGATACTACTTGACTTGGATCACGGTCAAAATGAATCGGTATAAGAACAACTGGCATTTGATCAACGTTGTTCATACAACCATTGTTTTGAAGTACTGACATAACCCTATCATCGACTTCCCGGAGAGTATCGATAACAGGTTCCCGAAGGTAAGTAATTGTAATATCATTTACTGGATGAACAACTTGTGGTCCTAATATATATACTACGCTGAAATAAATATAGGAAATAAGAATACCAACTTCATTGTGAATTCCAAGATCTACTTACATTTGATAAACAGTCCGTAAAACTATAATTGAGTGGAATGAACATTTCGTCTTTAATTAGAATTCAATGGACTAGTAGCTCTTTTTATGCACGTAGTCTTATGCTATTTTCAATATAATAAAAACGACATACGAACTAAAACATACCATGGAAATATAACAGTATGTACGTTAGTTTTTCCTCTATTGAACAAGGTTGATAGAACGATTTAAGTACCTGTAGTTAATTAGCAAGGGTTTAAAAACCAAGTGAGCACCCTTCAGTAGAGTGTACCTAGAAATGCAAACCTGATATGTTTTTAATCAGTGACAGATTTATAAACCAGTATGTTTTTAAACGTATGCGCTCTGTACACTTATCTTCACGCCCTTGGTTGACAGAAAAAAAGTACTCAAACACATTTTCTGGATAATTTTTATAATATTATGAACTAAGTATCGACGTGAAAAACTAAACTGGCTAGGACAGTCTGTGGAAGTGATATAACAGAATCCAACTGGAGAGTTGACCAGTAAAACAAGTCACAAAGATTTCGAATAACAATAATGAACCTACCGATTGATATTATGGCATATCCTAGGAATTAAATTAGCTAAAAACGAAAGGGCATCCCAATCTGGAGCAGTTGAACTAGATAAAGCACAAGCATAACTATAAGTACGATGATCACCCTAAAATACAATTAAAATGAAAAGATCGTAAAAAAAGCTTAAAATTAGAGTAATTATTACGCAGTTTACAGAAGTTTAAGGGTGTGAATTTTAATCATTTTGAAAACAAACAGATTAACGATAGAACATGTAATTCATATATTCTATTTGATTAGCAAAATCATACTTGCACTCCGACTGAACGAATAGGTAGAACATAGGCGGCTAGAGACCGATTTGCTGTAATTTTTGATAAACGTTGTTGTTCTTCAGGTCTAGCAGCAGCATTGATCTTGTTTAAAAGTGCATGAGGCTGTTGGAAAGCAAAATGATAAGTAGCTGAAATTATGATGATATACGTTAAATGCAGTAAATCTTGAAAACAAGTACTTATAAAGATTAATACCAATAAACAATATGAATAACTCCAAAAATAACTGAAGACTTTTTGCCAGTAATAGGAATACTATTAAACGAATTCTGGCGTTCTTTCTGTGGTCAATGTGACTGAAATCACTAATGATGTAAAGGTTGACAATATTTATTTAAATGTTAACCAGAATCGATTAAAAATTATAGTTTTTTCAGTCCTAGTTTTTAAACTGCAAATATAAAGTTGGATCTAATACTATGAAAGTCGGGTATCTGGTGGTATAAACTTCTTGAGTTCCATATCTGGTTGGGGACCGCGAGATGATAGCAACCGATGGTTAGAGACCCTGAATGACATGGCTCAAAATCGTTTGCAATGGCGCAGGTGCATCCACTCTTTGTGTTCTCCCAAATTCTAATCTTCTGGATTCTTCATGTCTCTTTTTTTTCTCCTTCCAAATTGATTTCACTGTATTATACTCCTTAAATAACATCTTCAAACCCTAATCTTTCTGATTACTGCTTGCACTCTTACTACCTCTACCACTACGGGATTTGAATCGACGACTGCATCTCTGTGCTAATGTGGTATGGCAACTTGAACCGATGTACGTACGCACGAAGTTCTACGTTATTACTGACTGATATCTGTTGACGGTTGAATGAGAGCGTTAACTTCAGGTGTGGAGCTTTATCTTATATATTCATATACAAGTGATGAGCATTATGTGCCTTGTTGTCTTTCTACGATGGCTACGTGTGAAATGACTGAAGCATTGAAAATTACTTTCTCTCGTGTTTTACTCAAAAAAGCAACCACTCGTAAGTGTATGCACTGTTTTCCGACTGAATCTATACCTATTGTCCGATGCGTCCTGATTGTTACTGTGAAAAATGAGGCAATATATACTCCTATGTACTTTTTAATGCTCCATATTAGGTTTATAAGTACCAAAACACACCTCTAACGTATTTGAGGATGACCATGTGAAACATTTCAACAAGATTGGATCTCGGTGAAAAAAGAACTAGATCACAAAGTATAACATTGAGGAGCTAAATTTGATTACCGAATAAGCGACAAAGCTTGACATAAATGTTATTGTTTTAAAGACGATTGGTAAAGATCTCACAACAAACCAACCTTTTGCGACATTTGATGATATCCAGAGATCATTTTTATAAGACTTGTTGTCTCCGAAAAATCTCGTTCAATATATGGTTCTGCAGCACATAAGATTCTAACTGCTAAACCTGGACCAGGAAAAGGATGTCGGTTGACAATAGCCTCTGGAAGTCCAAGTTGTTTACCAATCTGTCTAACTTCATCCTTATGGAAATCTGAAAGTGGTTCAACAACCCGACCCTTCAAAAACAAATAACAAGGTTTTATGTTTATGAAGTTATAGTTGAGGAATAAAAAGTGGATGATTGACAGATATAACATTCAAAAGTAGCCAGTATTTAGTAGTTTTTTCTAACATCTATTTTAGTATTCCCAACAAAAATTCGACACTAGTCATATTCAAGCATTATGTACTACCACCCATTGAATATACTGGCCAATTTTCGAAAACAGTTCGTTATGAGAAAATCAAAAGCCCCCAAATGTCCTGGTACGGCCGAGAGTGGAGCGGGCTCGCCCTCCCTCTGGAAATGCTCTCACACGGCTACGCGTACACAGCTTCTGCCAGGGAAGTCCTACTCACTTCCTTCTCCTGGAGGGGGTGTTGTTTACGAAATTGAGAGGATGAAAAGCTAATGTCTGGCGCTTTAAACGGAACCTAAACCAATGGTGCACATGGGCTCCAGTAACCTGAGGGAACAAATGGCGTACGAATCAATTGTTGGTCACCGGCTACCATGGGACTGCATCTCCTCACGATGCTCCACTGCTTTGTGGGTCAGACCTTTAGGTCAAAGGCTCGGGTGTGACCCCCTAAGAAAACCAACTGCCTCGGTTTGGGCACCCAGGCAGTATCACAGCCCAAATACAAATAGAATGAAATGACGATATTTGCTAAAAATACTATTCTCGCTTCGATTAACAGTCAAACATTTCGCATTATTATTATTGTTTACTACGTCACTTATTCACTCTCATTAATTTCCACTTTGTGCATCCTTATTTTTCAACTTAAAAAGCAGCTCGCCTATGATGGAAACTCGGTTCTATCTAAACGATCTCGAGTCACTGACTGGCTGAAAGTTGAGTGCCAACACCAAATACGAATACTGAAACAGCTTTTCTGAAACCACGATGTCTCTTCGTCATCTCTGCCTATGCCTTGACAGATTGCGGCCTGGATGCAATCAAAGATGAATTCTAACAACAGTTATCTTTTCTTCTCCAGAAAGTGCGTTCGACAGATATTGTAGTACTAGCCGGAGACTTGAATGCGCACGTCAGGTGTCTAAGCACAGGAGAGAATCGTTGAGGTGGCCGACGGGGACTTGTTGGTCGCAAGACAGATAACGGGGACCGTCTACTGTAACTGTGCACAGACCACAACCTGTTTCTGGCTAGCACTAACTTCCGGCATAGTCGTCGCCGATGTGGCACATGGCGTCCTCCCTCCGCATCTCAAGCCTGGACTCAGATTGATCACATCGCGATCAGCTACCGCTGGCGTGGTTGTGTACAAGACTGCCGCTCCTTTTGGAGTACCTATCTGGACTCTGATCATGCCCTGGTCTGCGCCAATCTTACCTTACCTTTCAGTGGCCGGCGAAGTGATCGTCACCAAAGGATTGATATCAGCAAATCGGTTGCAACTTCTGTTGCTAATAAGTATCGAACCAAGCTAGCTTTTAGACTAGCTACCATTCCACCAAAAAAAGTATAGATGAGTATTGGTCGCAACTGCATGACGCTATGAAAATAGCGAGTGAAGCCGCTTTCGGCTGCGCGAAACGTCACGCTTATAAGCACTGGGTTTCTTCTGGTTCCTTACTACTCATTGAAGCCCGTCGGTCTACTCCGGATGACCGTGAGTTTGACCATAAACGGAGGTTGTTACGTAATGAAGTTGGGCAAAGCTTGCGTAAGGACCGAGAAGCCTGGTGGTCGGAGCGTGCTAATGAGATAGAAGCAGCAGCTGCATCTGGTAACTGCCGGAAGCTCTTCCAACTCATCCAAGCCACTGGCAGCAAGACGTTTGGTGCGAGAGGTACAATCTGCGAGGATGACGGGATGCCAATCACCAACATCCATCGACGTCTTGGACGATGGGCAGAATTCCTCGAAGGGCGGCTCAACTGGCCTGCTGCTCCGGTAACATCGACCAGACTGTCGTGCCCTCCATGGCCGGTGATGACTGATCCACCAAATGAGGCGGAAGTCCGCAAGGAACTCCAACTCTGAAAGCGCTACGAATCGCCGGGCCCAGATGACTTACCTCCGGCTTTTCTTAAAGATGGTGGTGACTTTCTGGTTAAGGAACTGACTTCGCTGTTTACAAAGATTTGGGAGTTAAACAGTATTCTAACATCATGGAACGAGTCAATAGTTGTCCCTATCTTTAAAAAGCGTTCACGTCGTTCCTGTAACAACTATCGGCGGATAAGTCTACTTCCGATTGCGTCCAAGCTATTGGCTTTCATCACACTTCGTAGGTTGTTCAAAACTCGAGAAAGATTGACTCGCGAGGAGCAGGCTGGGTTTCGTTCTGGTTGAGGATGTATTGATCATATCTTCACCCTCCGCCATACTTATCAAAGGCCAACAATCGCGTTTCTTGACATCAGGGCTGCCTTTGATTCGTTGGACAGGATTGTTCTCTGAGATTGTCTATTGAAGATAGGGTGTGCCTGAGGATTTTATTAACATCTTAAAGGCTCTATATACGAACACCTCAGACGAAGTGAGGGCATACAACCACCTTTCTCCATCGTTCCATTCAAGCAGTGGGAATAGACAGGGTTGCCATCGATGACATTCTGGAAACAGCTCTGATGGATGCAAGTAATGGCGGTGTGGATCTGTTGCCTGGAGATGATATTGTCTTACTGTGCAATAATGCCCAAGCCATTCAATCTGCACTTAGTCAGTTGGCAATCAGTGTCCGTAGGTATGGTATGTACTTTGCACCCTCGAAGTGCAAAGTACTTCTACTAGACTAGCAGGATTCTAATCCTGTACTCATCCCGGATGGTGAGCAGATAGAAGTAGTCGAGAAGTTCGTGTATCTGGGTAGCTGCATAAGTGCTGGTGGGGGTGTGAGTGATGAGATCAATGCACGAATAGTGAAAGCCAGAGCGGCTTATGCCAATCTGGACCATCTTTGGCGCCTTCGTGGTGTCAGTCTGGCTGTAAAAGGTCGGATCTACAACGCATCAGTGAGAGCAGTTCTGCTCCATGCTTGTAAAACCTGGCCTCTCCGAGTTGAGGATGTTAGACGACTCTGTGTTTGATCATCGTTGTCTCCGAAGGATTGCTGACATCCAGTGGCAACACCATGTTAGTAATGCAGAGGTTCGGCATCGTGTGTTCTGGAGCAGAGACTATAATCCAGTTGGTGTCACCATCTTGAAACACCAACTTCGGTGGCTTGGACATGTTCTACGAATGTCGTCCCCAAGAATTCCACGTCGTGCATTATTTACCGACCCTGGGATTGGTTGAAAAAAGGGGAGGTGGTCAGTACATGACATGGTGTCGTGGCATGAAAGCTGACAAGGGCTGGCTTGTGTTGGTCTTTCACGACTCCCTGGCTGGGGTCCGAGAGATGGTGCAACACAGTGGCTAGAGACGTTATCAGATATGGCTCAGAATAGAAGCCAGTGGCGATCCTGCTGTAACCTTTTACTTTCTTCATAAAAAGTGGTTGGATCTTCCTTAACTGAAAGAATTCTTCTGGTTGTACCTTTCCGTTATTATTATTATTATCACTACACTGCCTTACAGTAATCTTTTCTTTTTTCTTTTTTTTATACGCACCTTACCTTCTTTTTTCTCTCCCTATTCTCATTGTTTTATGTGGCGCATATACATCTGGTACCCCCTTGTACCAATATTTAAGTGTTCAAATTAATAAATAAATAATACAGTATATAGATAGTTTATTCTACACAATTCAAAGGTTAGTATTTTTAAATGTATTCGAACTGTCAAGAAGTATAGGACTGCAGCTGATTACAGTAATTCATGTCAAGATTTTTGTAACTAAAATCAGACTGCCTAGTAATCTTTATACCACATATTTGTAAACTGAGACTTGTACCGTAGTCGAAATTTTCATCAAAACGTTAAGACCTATTTTTGTATATCACTGTTACTACTAATGCTTTAGCCTTTGACTATAGTATAACAACATCTCATATGTTCTGACAAGGCTATCAGCAGTAGGTGTCGGACAAAACAACTGCTATACATCTCGCAGTTTCATTTAAGGTAATCAAAACGGTTTAGTCTTACAGGAACCTCAATGTATACAAGAAACTACTATGAATTATTTCACTTCACACACATCATGAATTAGTTTGTAAGTACAGAATAGATTTAACCTTTCAAAAAATTCACATATGCATCTTACAACCCATATTATTAATCTGCAGATCCTTTTTCCATAACTACAATGACCCAGGATCCCTACTCATAATTATTGATATATTTAAGTAATAAGGGAGAAAAGCTAGTTTCCTGAAGCGTGAATTCCGCCATGCAAGTTAGAATGAATGCATATGTCATCAAAATACCAACATCAAAGCCATGAATATATACATTTCTTCCCCTTGAAGTCTCATCAGATGATCAGAAAGTTAAATGAAGCTTTTAACCATCATTTTCACAAAATATGGTTACTAAAAATTTCGTGTAATTCTGAGACGTCCACACAGAATTTATTTTTTATTTCGTCTTGAAATATATATATATCCTTCATCCCTAAACTAATAATAAATTTAAATCATAAACACATTTGTGGACAACAAAAAGCTTTTTGTCATAATAATTGAAATTTTCGCGTTTACCAACCTGCTTCTGTAAAATCTGGACCAGTGTGGTTGTATTATGATGAGTCTTAATTGTATCTGCTCGTTGACTAGCTAAATGAGATGCAGATTCGATTAGATCAGGCCTCAATGTTCCTAGTAAAGTAATAAAAATACACTATTTGTTGGAACCATTTGACTAAAAAGCAATACAAACAAACACCAAGTAGAGAAAAATTAAATTGACAGCAAATAATATTACGTAATAGTCCAATGTGTGAGAAATTTGTATAAATGAATATATATATATATATATATATATATATATATATATATTGCTGCTTGAATCTTTTAGACCACGTGGAAAATTGTTATCTGAAGCGATGATGAGTGAAGTAAATCGAAAAATACTCATCATCACTATCTAACATTTTAATAGAGACGATAATCGAGATATTTATTTATCTCTAATTTGCTAAAAAATGTATCAACCAGAGATCTAGTCTATTAACAGTAAGCAAATAATAATAAGCGAAAACACCGACGTAATACAAATCACGAATAAAAGTTAGTTACGTGTTCTGATCTGTCAAATGCAATATAATGTTCAAGGACAGGTTGTTAGTGACAACTGGTTTAGAAATGAGGCGTGAAGCAGACGAACGTTCAGATAGTTGTTTAGCTTTGGATTTTTGTCACAAGCATTTATGGAATTCGCTGAAAAGAGAACTCTTCGCTGAACTAATCATTCTTATTTAATCTCTTAATAAGTGTATTCTGTTTACAAGCATTTATCTCGTAAGTAACACCAACCTAACATTCATCGAACGGCGGTTATCTTGAAATGTGTGAGTTAACTGTTGTTTTAAAAAACTTTTTAATATTTATTCATTTGAACGCATAAATATTGGTACAAAGGGGCACCAAATACATATGCGCCACACAAGTCAATTGATTTGTGTGTGGGCTGTGATACTGCCCGGGTGCCCAGACTGAAAAAACTATCATCCTTTTGAACATGACTTGATTTCAACAGGGCTCTCTGCTACAGCCACATTTTGTTACTTTATGGAATTATTCAACTAACCGATTGAAGGCTATTGAGGAGATAAGGCAGACGTATTTTACTTTATTATCCAAACTCGGATTTATGTAAGCTAGGTATTGGGAAGTTCATCCAATGTCATGAAAATTAATGTCGCCCGCGAAATTTCCTGATTTTCTGAGAAATTTTATCCATACATTTCATATATATGATCAAACTAGACTAGGTACAGAGACATGAGTTAGTCTATGCGCATACCACACTACTACTGTTTAGAGAAGTCCAGTATATATTACCTACGGTAGAAAAAATTTGATAGGTAAGGTACCATCAAACATGCATAACAATCAACAGTAACAACAGCTGTCATAGAGTCACAATCGTTTTAATGGACATCATTAAAACATTTTACGGACAACAAAAATGAAAAAATAGCTGTATACCTTGGCAGAGCATTAAACTACTAGGATCTAACTGAAGTTCAGTCCATACTTCTTGGGCAACACGCACAAAAGTATCACCAATAATTTGTCGTTTATCTTCAGGGAAAATAGTGACTGTTCTAAGAGGTCCAATAGGAATGTTTCTTGATTCTACATGTGGGTGAATTCCACCACCACTGACATGTGACTGTCTTTTAGCGTTAGATGTATCCGTAGTTTGAGAGTATGCCATTGTATCTAACGTCGATCTGCACTCTTTAGTATTTGGATCTGATGTCTCGTCCGATGTTCCTGAGCTTATTCCTAGAAATACAATTTAATAATCAGAAATCCTATTTATTTCAATTACCAGAATCAGACTGTGCTTTAGTAGGACTGACGGAAGCAGGTGCCAAAGCCTCCGTCATTACATCGACGTGTAGCATTGTAGTCCCTGATAGGAATCGAAGGCCTGCATTGATCAGATGGACTGGGTAAAGTAAGATAATGCAAAAGAATGTAATTACCTTTAATTCCCAATGACTTTAATGATTCTATCACTCTTAAAGATTCGTTTTTTCTTAGGAAACCATTGTCAATGTGAACAGCAATAATTTGAGATGGATCCAAAGTTTTTGATAGCAAGGCTGCACATACAGTGGAGTCGACACCACCACTCAGTAAAATCTAAAACAAATATCAGGATTATCTAGGTAAGGTTGAAAAAACATTGAAGTACAACAGCCAGCTAGTTGAAAGTATGCTTAAAAAACGCTTCTACCTAGTTTGTACACAATAATGAAAACATTACTGGACTCCTACCTTGAATATACGAACCACTTTTAGTGTGACAAGAGGTCATGTAAACCTCTCTTATATGACAATTAGGCCCCCAAATGCCCTGGTACGGTCGAGGGTGGGGAGAGTCAGCTCTTTCTCTAAATACTCTCACACGGCCACACGTATACAGCGAATGTCCGGTGTGTTTAACAGGGTTGATGGATATGGAGGATTTACTTAAGAGTTGGAAAACCCTGATTCCGAACCAACGATGTACATGGGTTTCAGGACTCTGAGAGGACAAATGGCGTATGAACCTATTGCTGGTCACCGGCTACCGTGGGGCTGCATCTGGCATTGCTTTACTGCATCGTGGACTGGACATCTAGATCAAAGACTTAGGGAGTGGCCCCTAAGAAAACGAACTACTTCGGTTTGAGCGCCCGGCCAGTATCTAAGCCCTCACACAAATCGAAGATGAAGTGTGGCACATATGTATTTGACGCCTTGCACCAAAATTTGTTTTAAACAAATAAATAAAGTGTTGCGACGAATTTCATCCTATTAAAGTGAGAGGAACTGAGACAACTGCTTTTTGAACACAATCCATACAATGTCAGAAAACTCGGCGCATCCAGGCAACTTTGTGTCGCAAGATATGTAGTAGTATTCAATAATATCGGATTCAGTAAAACTAAACAGAGAATAAAACTCAAAAAGGATAGACGAAATATAGAAATAAGAAGCGTGAAATTGTATTGAAAAGGTTTGGGGGTTAAAAATACACAGATCTTCACTGTGATCCATTTTGACTGACATTAACAATGGCCTTCAAATACTGAATTACCATGCAGAGCTTAACAATGACGTCTACATCTGCCAACACGTGCCAGGCTAACAACCAATGACTGTATGAAACAATGACGGTGTAGTTGTGAACCATACCTTAATCCGACAATAATCAACGAGTGACATGCACTCGCATGAAACAACAGAATTACTAAGAATATGGAAATTATACTTTACTGAGTTGCATCTACCATTTGACAACTAATTCCGATATTAATAATAACAATCACTTGACCTAATTCCTATTTTGTGAGGAAACTAGGCGACATTCCTTAAAAACGAGTAAAATTTTCAGCTTACATAATCTAACCGAAGTAGCAAATTAGTATGGAGTAACAACCCAATGAAGGCATTTACTTATAAAACACGATGTGCATATAACACAAACGATATGGGCCAACAAAGAAGTGATTATAGGAGTATGTGCGAAAACGATCACATTGGGAACTGATATGTCCAGATGTTACCACAAATAAATCAGGAATCTTGAGGATCTGATTTTTGGAATAACTTACCAAAATTTTATTTTGACCGACAGCTTCACGTATTTTGGAAATGCACAATTCTACTCTATCACTCATTTTAAAATCTCCCTTCAGGTTACATATATTGAACAAAAAATTCCTTAAAATTCTTAAGCCACATGTACTGAGATCCACCTCAGGATGAAACTGAACTCCGTAAAGTCGTTTGTCATCATTTGCGATACCTGAACGGTAAATAAATATAAATGAAACAAACTAACCAGCTATGTTGGAACTAGACTTGGCTATGACTTTAAATCCTGTTGCAGCAGTGATGCAGTGATCTCCATGGGTGAACAATACATGCTCCTGTTTTGATAATCCTCTATAAATTTATTACACATTATTGGGGATTGATTTACTCAAATAATGGAGAAGTTGTGTCACAGTCAATTTGAAATACGCCATCTTGCCGAGTGTCGCCCTCCATCACTTGGCCACCAAAGACTTTGTTGATAAGCTAGACTCTATAGGAACAAAACATTCGCCAACATACTTGCATTCCATAACAAATCCCCAGAATAGGAATGTTTGCGTCAAAAAGTTTGGGATCACATGTGCAACTCATAGACTGGTAGACTGAGTCAGGGCTGCCTGAGATTATGAAAGCCCTACATAACAATAGAAGGAATATGGTAAGACACTACTTGTAATCAGCTTTTAAAAGCGTTTCGAGAGGAGTGTTGATGGGCAACATCTCAGAAAAAACAGAGAGCTCTCGAACGCGTCGGTCGATAACCTAGCAAGATTTGATAAGAATAAACTACACTGAATATCCTATACCTTTCCATATTGGGCACCTGCGTCTAGAATTGCAATCTTTTCCATCCCTATCGTACGGACTGGGTAGCGCCAACTTCCAATACGGCACAACTATCCAATGTCCAATTTCCATGTGGGGAGCTCGCTTAAAAAAATTCAATTTATTTGCTTTCACTCCTTAGTTTCAGGATACTTTTAGACTCCTTGAATTCAGCACGAATGGATATCAGCAAGGACAACAAAATCAAACAATTTTATGATCTTAAAATACTATATGTTCTTAAGTTTTAGTGGTATTGTATACTTGGTTATACCTTCGCTTATATGCCCCAATTTTCAGGTATCTAACTTGTCACATAACCGTATGCTTCTGGTCTATACTGATCTGCCAAATGTGCTTTTACTTACGCCGTCCACTCTGCTTTCAACGTGTTACAGCAATTAACTATAGTCTCCATTCACAAGGAATTGAGGTTGATGGACATATGTTAATCTTTATAGTTTGTTCTTCAGTGATGGTCCAGCTTCTCATTGATAGTGTTCGCTAGTGGGGCTGATACCACTTTTTCGGGTTGGAAGTCCGGTCATTGACCACTCGATGAGAAGAATAGAACCTCACTTTAAGGTTGTTAGATCGCGATTTTCGAAACTTCTTGCTATGACCTCAAAAATTATTAGTACTGAGGGAGCAGAAAGATATGACATGTTAACACCCAAATCGTAATTAAAGATACGAAATGCCAATACAAGGTCACCTCGCGTTCTACGATACGACAAGGAGAAAACGTTTAGGTGTTTCAGGAGCTCGTCGTAAGGGAGTTTGGAGAGAACCTTCGCTAATTTGTTCACTCACGCTGAACAAGCTCAAACAAGTTGATATTATCAATTGGACATGGACTATCGGCTTGGACACAGTGTGTAGCGTGGCGTCGGGTTGAGATTAACCGTGAACACCGCTACCAAGAAACACGTGCCAAATGAATCAGAAGGCGAGGGTTGGACGTAACCAAATAAACCCATAAAATCTCCGAGAAGCCGAATACCAGAAGGCAATTAATGGACCAAGTCGATGTTTATTTGCTGGCGATCTCGTGGCATCGAAAGGATACCGAGATCGTGCCAGGATACAAGCTTGGTTACAGAACGTAACCGAATTCGCGCGAAGTTACAATCGAAGTGTAAGTATAAGAATGGAAGCACAAAATAGCTGTCATTAGCACAGTCAAACAAAAGCACGTTAAAACAAACACTGGTACAGTTGGTTATAATAATAATTGTTTTTATTAAACCAGTCGTGTTCTCGTGATAAATGTGAGTCACTACAGGAGCCCCCCGCTAGAAAGGGTTAACACTTTCGATAAATAGCGGTTTGAATCGTGGGACTGATCGGCTGACGAGCGATTGTAGGACGGAAAGATTGGCGAACAGGAAAGCGATCGTTGATCGTCGAGTTGCCAACGAAGGTCGTTTTCGGAGAACGGTACAAGGAGCGATATGCTGTATTTGTTGCTTGAATTGGCATGCTACACCAGAGTGGTTTGTGTCCAGAATCTGAAGAGGGCGTTCGTAGGGAATGCGGACCAGAAACGCTGCAGACGAAGGACGAAACCACGTTGAGCCAAAAGACCAGAAGCGACCGTAACGACCAAGTTCGAGATCAAACGTGTGCCAAGCGTTCGAAACCAATATATCGACTGAGTACGTTGACAAGAGCATGGGTGATCAGGCCAGCTTTCGCCAAAGTTGACTGAAGTCGACGGAACCAAGCGGAGATGGTCGAAGGCGTGGGCTCAGGAAACAAAAAGAAAATCAAAAAAAGAAGAGTGTAGCATGCAAGTAGCATAGGAATATTCCTACACCGTATCGGTTGTCGACTGTGCGACTTCGCGGAAGCGTACGGGTAACCGTACTCGGCGACCGGAACGTGAGACGGCAGTCTCGTTCGTATTTCGTGAGCCTGCAATCTCATCCGAAATCAAGGGCGGCGTGGTCTGCTGATCTGGACGTGAGACTGTCGTCTCGTCCGTAGACGGTGCAGATGACGCGTGCTGTTGACCGGGACGTGAGAATGAGGTCTCAGATGTATCTAGCGTGGGACCTGAAGAATATTTAAGGATCCCGCTAGGTTTGATAGGTCTAGCATTGAATCTCAGGTTATCAGATAGGGCACTGTCATCGACGTGTGCTGGTTTGAGACGATCAATGCTGACGATCTCGACGCGGCCGTGTCGATCAACCTTGAAGGTCTTTTCGTGACGAGTGATCACGTGAAAAGGGCCTTCGTAAGGTTGTTGCCAAGGTTTGCGTACCGAATCTACTCGTACAAAAACATGTGAACAGGTAGATAACTCTCGAGGGAGAGCGACCTGTCGATGTTGTATTCGAGTTGACACCGGAGACAGCGTTCGCATAAATGCAGACAGTCGATGGACGTAGTCTGATTTACCGAAATTAGGTCTGCTCCGTGGTGTGAAGAATTCCCCGGGCAGACGCAATGTCGTGCCGTATACAAGTTCAGCGGCGGAACATTGGATATCTGCCTTTAAACTCGTTCTGATACCTAAAAGAACGAGCGGTAAGGTTTCGTACCAGTCGTCGTTTTCGTGTGCTCGAAGAGCACTTTTAAGTTGACGGTGAAACCTTTCAACTAAACCGTTTGAAACTGGATGGTAGGCGGTAGTGCGTATTCGTTCCGTACCAAGCAGCCGAGTAAGTGAGGAGAATAGTGCGGACTCAAATTGTTGTCCTCGGTCAGTCGTGACAGTCGAGGGACAACCATATAGAGCTATCCATCGTTCTACGAAGCGGTGAGCAACTGTCTCCGCCGTGATAGACGTGATGGGTATAGCTTCGGGACATCTGGTGAAGCGGTCGGTGCACGTGAGTATGTGATCATACCCGTGCGATGGTGGCAGTGGTCCTACAATGTCTAAGTGAACATGATCGAAGCGAGCATCAGGCGTAACGAATGTACCGAGGGGGGTGGCTACGTGCCTGTGCACTTTTGATCGTTGACATTGTAAGCATTGCTTAGCCCACATACGAACATCTTTATTCATGGACGGCCAGACGTATCGTGCAGCGATGAGGCGTAAAGTAGCTGCGATACCTGGGTGAGATAATCCATGCAGGGCATCGAATACGAGACGGCGATAAGCAGAGGGTACGATGGGTCGAGGAAGACCGGTAGACGTATCACATAGAATGGTGCCAGAAGTCGTGGCTAGAGGTACTTCCTGATACTGAAGGGACGTAGAGTGTGGTGCTTTTGTACAACTGGGATCGTTTGCTTGGGCAGTGGCCATAGCAGGAAGATCGAGCACCGGCAGGGTAACTGCATTCATTTGGATTCGTGATAGAGCATCGGCAACACAGTTCGACTTGCCTTGGATGTGACGAAGATCTGTCGTGAACTGAGAGATATAGTCCAAATGTCTGCACTCTCGTGGTGAGTAGCGGTCAGACTTGGTATGCAAAGCATACGTTAAGGGCTTATGGTCGGTGAATAAAATGAATTGACGTCCTTCTACTGCGTGCCGAAAATGTTTGATGGCGCAGTAGGCTGCTAGCAGCTCGCGACCAAAAGCGCTATATCTCGTCTCCGTGGTAGTAAGGCGTCGTGAGAAGAACTCGAGAGGTTGCCAACTACCGGAGATGTTTTGTTGCATGACTGCTCCTATAGCGACATCGGATGCATCAACCGCTATACTAAGCGTGGCTGATGGATCGTGATGGGCGAGAAGAGTGGCTTGCGCAAGGGCCGTTTTGATTTCAGTGAATGCAGTACGTGCAGAATCGTTCATTTCCAATCTGCGTGGGTTGCCGCGTAGTAAGTCGATTAGTGGTCGTAACCGTTCTGCCGCGTGTGGGATGAAACGACGGTAGAAGTTAACCAAACCGAGAAAAGCCTTCAGTTCCTTGAGTGAGGACGGCTCGTTGTACTCCTTTATTGCTTGCACTTTGTCCTCACAAGGTAAAATACCCTCTTGCTTGATAACATGACCCAGAAATATGATTTCTCGTTTACCTAACTCGCATTTGTCTGGGTTAACTACTATTCCATTATCCGAAAGGCGTTGGAATAATAGCGTAAGATGTTGATAATGTTCATCTACGTTTGATGATGCGATTAGCAGGTCATCAATATAGACGTGAACAAAATCGAGGTCTCGTACAATGCTATCGATAAACCTTTGAAAAGTTTGAGCAGCATTCCGTAATCCAAATGGCATTCGTAGGAACTCAAACAAACCGAAAGGAGTCGTGACAGCAGTCTTTTCGATGTCTTCAAGAGCGACTGGGATCTGATGATATGCTCGTACCAGATCGATCTTAGAAAAGATAGTCGTGCCCTTGAGCGATGCCGTGATGTCGTGTATGTGGGGGATGGGGTAGCTATCGAAGCGCGTAACTACGTTTAGAGCTCGGTAGTCGCCGCATGGTCTCCAACTAACCCCATCTTTTTTGCGCACCATGTGTAGAGGAGAGGCCCATGGACTGTGAGAAGGACGAATAATACCAGTAGCTAGTAAATTGTCAAACTCACGCTTAGCAAAAGCTAATTTGTCCGGTGCCAGTTGGCGAGGTCGTGCCGTGACTGGCGGTCCGCGGGTGACTATGTGGTGTACCACACGATTGGTCACCGATGGCAGCTCCTCGAGTGGTTTAGTGAGTACGGGGAATTTCTCGAATAAAGCGTGGAATTTATCGTCACGCGAGTAAAAAGTGCCGAGGATTCGGTACGCGTTCATGTGGGCTTTACAGCCCATGAATTTGCTGTTCGACGAAGTATCGATTAGCTGCAGCCTACGTGAATCGACAAGCAATTCATAGTGCTGTAGAAAATCGATACCTAGTATGGCTGTGGGAACATCAGCAATGATGAACGTCCACAGATACCGTCGTCGGTTGCCCAGGTTGACCACGAGTTGTCGTGTACCGTAGGTAGGAATGACTGAGCCATTCGCAGCGCGTAGTCGAAGCACTGTGGCTTGTGACTTGCTGCTACCTCATGGTACGACATAAACTTGGGCCCCAGTGTCTACTAGGAACCTAGCGTTTGTGCG